CTTTGGCGATTTGGTCGACCATGCCAGATCGTGTCACAGAGTCAAGGCTGAGGTGCCCAAGGTTGATCACCGGCGTTGGCGAGAGGTGCAGGGACACGAGCTGCTCCTGAGCAACAGTCCTTGACAGGTCAGACATGTTGGCTGACGAACGGCAGCACTGGAGGCAGAAGTCAGGCAGCTGCTATTCAGAATCAGAATACGGAAGGACCGTTGTGACTCAATCTACTTATAGGGTCCTGAAATTCATCCGAGGTACACGATTTTTGCTTCTTGCAGTGCTTGCGACCAAGGAATGAGACTACAGAAGTGAACATACACCTGATGGTCTTCACCTGGACTGCGCTTACTCCAAAGGAGACGTCAAGGCATATGCACATAACGTCCATGCATTCATTTGTCAGTATTCCTGTCCAGGAGACGGTCCTGGGCCGGCACTGCATGGGTGCGTCTGCCCTGGTGCCGTCCACCATGCAAGTAAATGTATCATATTCATTCTGTGGTTCCAGGCTTCTCCCTCAGCCGCTTTCTTCAGTTCTCCATATCTCATTGACGTCGTGGCGGCTCACAACTGGTGTTTTCTTATGACCCAAGGTTACGCGGATAATATTGTCTGGAGAGACGACTTGATTCACTGATGTTGATGCTGCCCAGGGGGATCTCATATGGGCATAACGCTGAAAGATTGATCAATTATAAATGGTGCAGTGGCAGGGTCCCAAGAATGCTACTTTTGGTGGTTTTCTCATGCTGCGTGCTCACTGCGAGGGTAGCACGGTGGATGATCTCCAGCCACAGGTGATGTCGGACGATGACGGCAGCATGGTGGATATGGATGATCTCCAGCCGCACAGAGCAGTCGGACGACTATGGTAGTATATGGTGTGGGTGATCTCCAGCCCAGCGGTTTTTGTGCTGACGCCTGTCTAGATTCAGGGCATTCGTGTTCTGTGTGCTGACACTCGACAGATCAAGAGAACTGCCAGTGGAACCTTTGGTTTGAACCTGCTCCCATGGTGAAGATAGACCAAGTTGCAGTACATTAGTGCAACTGCAATGTTGCTTACATTTCAGATACTCTATCGCCTCTAGCTCTGTCGGCACTGCTAGTTTGGAATGGCGTGGATGAGTCATGAGCATTGCTTGTTTGCTACCCTGTCACTAAGCTTATTTAGTTATTTCAGAAGATGTCAACAAGGACCCCTTGTTCACAGAAGAGTAGGCCCGGTGAGGCAGCTGTCCCTGCTATGATCGCCCGATCGAAAACGACCGAGATCTGGTGCAGATTTTTCTTTGCGTATTCTCTCTTCCTGGACTCTTGCGTGTATGTATCTGCAACGTTTGGTATGGGTATGGCATTGGCACAGTTGCCAGAGCGACACAGCGGTAGTAGAATAGTGACATCGGTGGGTAGCGTGCAGCAGATATTTTGCTTCTGTGTGTGTCGGCATCCGTTTGGGAAACTAGTTTGCTGTCCACTGTCCTGAACTCCTGACGCAGTTGCTTATTGCTGCCGCGCCTAGATTATATATATGGATAATATATGACGTAATGCCTGCATCTTCTGCAGTTCTCTGTTCCATTTATAGTCCTTTGGATTCTCTTTCGTTTTCCTTTGTTTTCTTAGCGCTTATTTACAATCGTTTCAGTAATTTGTTGGATCTTTCCAAGGAGGAGAGATGGACACCTATATATAAGTAAGAACAGAAAAGACAAGATGCCAAGGATAGCTACTTATAACACACACAAAATGAACGAAGCTCAGCTCATTCCGTTGTCGAGTCAGTCTACTTTCCTCGTGCGGTTGCTAGAGGTTCCAAGCGCTCTACTAAAAGGGAAATGTAGCATGAGGTTGTATTTGTATAGAAGCTGACATGTGGCCAAGTGGTTAGTGTTATGAGTTTTGCAGCAAGTCTGTTAGGGTTCAAGACAGCAATTTTAGGGCCCATTGGAAAGCAGAAATTTTACAAGAATCGTACATAAATTTCACAAAAAACATTTCATTTTTACAGCAAAAACGCAGGAAACAAAAAAAAACTCACGTTTCGAAAAAAAGGTCTTGGATTACAAGTAGGGATGTAGGTCCCAACCACTCCTCTACCATAAATTCTCCATTGTTATAACTAATTACAGTGTGAATAGTATGTATTTTGGAGGCATTTGTTCATAGGATGCGTGTGTGTGGTATGTGTCGAATGTGTATTTTTTTAGGCCTGTTTGGGAGGCATTTTTTCAATTCCTGCATTTTTTGTAAAATTAAACTAATTCCAATAAAATTGTTGTATGATTTCTATGAAATTATTGCATTTCAAGCAGGCTATATTAAAAAAAACTATGGAGGCTTGTGTGCATGTTTTGTTTTCTAATTTTATTTCCCTTTTTTCATTCCAACATCTATAGCTAATCATGTTTATTGGATTGTAGTCTTGTGCGTTTGTATATATATAATTTGATACTTTTTAAACTTGATTGGTCCAACAATATATGCAACATAACTTAATATTTTGGTAAACTAGTCCAACATTTTCAGCCTGTTCGCTTGTTGGTTTCAGCCAGCCCAAACCAACCAGCCAATAGTGTTTTTCTCTCACAAAAAACCAGCACCAACCAGCCTAAATCAGCACCCACACCAACCAGCGAACAGGCCCTTTATGTTATATACGATATATTTGTTTGGATGTAGATATTGAAGGTGCTGGAAATGGCTCACAATACCAAATCTATTGTTTGGATGTACATAGAATTCACCCGTCTTCTCCTCCTCCTCTCCACCGCACCACCCCATCCCTCCTGTAGCTGCACCCGTCGGAGCTAGGGAAGAAGGAGAGGATCCCACCGAAGCTAGGCAAGAAGGAACCTACCATACCCGACGTGGAGAGGGTCAGTAGGGGTGAGGTGGTCAGCTGCATATGCGCAGAGGGTCAAGGGCGACGACCGACAAGTGAGGCATCGAGGGCTAGGTGCCACACAGATCGGGGGCAGCGACCACTGAGGGAGGCGTCGAGGACTGGGGCGCGCGTGAAGAGGGAGGCGTCGGGGGCTAGGGCACATAAGGAGAGGGAGGCGTTGTGGCGACGACCGATGACTGGCGAGGGAGGCAACAATGGCGACGACCGACGAGGGAGGCGCCGAGGGTCGGGGCGCGTGTGGAGAAGGATAGCGGGCATGGAGGTGAGGCCCAATTTCACCTAATAGGCAAATACAAAGTCTTACCCCTCTGTATTGGGAGAGGTCACTCCTAGTTGTAGTGCAATACAAAGGTATTGGGGTTGCAATTCTAAATCTCTTTTTCTTTACATCACCACAGAACGTTAGCCCATATTGTTGTGGATAACTATAAGTTTATCTAGCAACCATTATAGGTAAGTTACGGCAAGAGCGAGCAACGGTTGCGTGCAGAACTACAGCTATGTAAGCAAGTGAGCAGAACATAATGAGTAGGGGATGATGACCAAGACAAAAACATGTCGGAGATAACTCGAGAGACACCCAATTATACTAGGAAACTAGAGTTTTATATAATTCTATTAACTTTATGCACAACTTAGGGGAAAAGGAAGCCTACAATTAGCGGTGGATCTTACGATGGTCTATGGTGGGCAAAGAAAAATGAAGATAAAGAGAAACACCTACCTTTGTCTGCTTACCACGTAGCCCTCTGCCTTCCTCATGTCGCACGTCGAGAGTCGAGCTGCCAACGAGCTTCACCGCCCAAATTCATCGCCATCCGCCTTCCATGGAACTATCGTCACCACGAATTTAGCAACGTCTAGCATTCAAGCCACACCTCCGCTATTGGTTGGCATACTCATTCTGCAATCAAATCCTAAGGCCTTCCTCAATGCACCACGGTGGCGTGCTGCCTCAATGTCCACCTCAGCTCTAGACATCCATGTCATAGCGAAGTATAGCCTCGTAGGTTGAGGTTGTCTTGCGGAAGGGACCATTGCCTTATCTAACAAAAGTAACAGGCAATATCTAGGGAGCGCGCTGTGGTGAGAGCAGTGGCTCTAGACTGTTGGGATCACGTCTGTCGCTCCAAACTCTCTCTTTCTCTGGCTAGGACTGAGCAGTGTGCAGACCGTGGGACCCCCGAAGAGACAACACACACGGCTTGCGTTGAGTGAACGGTGGTCTTAATCTATCGAGCTACGAGGAGGGTGACCTTTTTCCTGGGGCTATACGCTGCTATATGCCCGCATTGGTATTGGCCTAAGCATACAACATATATATACCTCTCTTTCCCTCTTCCAACCTCGATACAAAAGCGATGACACATGATGGCGTAAAGCGAGATGAGCACGTTAGCTTATTTTCAAGGGATAGAGTATTATATACCTGAGGTGATATTTTTTTAGGACAGATCTATCCTATTTCAACCTTAAACCAAAGCATGCAAAAATCTAAGATCGTCTATCCTTTACCATGCCATCCCCATAACCACAGTGTAAAGCTCATTTTTGTTTTAGCTTGCAAATTGCTTCTTTGTTTTATCTTATACAATGATTCTATTTCTACTCCATTCACTCCAAAAAGTAAGTCAAACAATCTTTGGTTGGACCAGTTTTTCTATAAAAATATGTGAAGATTGTAATATATATATCAAATAAGTGTAATTAGATTCATTATACGATATATATTTTTACAAACAAAGTATAGAACATTACCTTTTTGAGACAGAGTAGGTATGGTCCACTGACCCAAAGCTAAAATAAGGAGTGTTCTCTCTTAGACAGTCAGACGGTGTTATGCTGGTAATCCACGATCCAGAGCTGAAACAAACGAATTGTGGTGTGCTAGTTACGGTCTTACGGCCGATATTTACCTGGAAAATTCAAAAAGAAAACAAAGCAAAAGCTGTTTGTAAAAACGCGAATCCAGCAAACGGCGCAAGCTCATGTCCAGTCGGGACCCACCAAAACTACCAGTGTCCCTACATCGTCAGAGGGACAGCGACGAAAAAACCGAGCCCACGCGAGAAGAAAAAAAGGAGTTGGAAAAAAATGGAGGCGTCCGCGGAGGCGGGGGCGGCCGCCGCCGCCGCCGCGCGAACGTTGAGGTGGGCGGGCCGCGCGGGGCACCTGGGCGGCGTCCCGCGCGCCGCGGTGTTCGCCGCCGTGGGCGCGTTCGCCAAGGCGTACGCCTCGCTGCTCAACACCACCACGGTCCACAACGCCGACGCGCTCCTCCGCCTCGTCTCGTCGCGGGCTCCCGGGACGCCGCTCCTCACCGTCAGCAACCACATGTCCACGTATGTCCCCCTGTAACCTCCTCACTCGTCTCCCTCCCCCATGACCCTTGATGCTTGTTGATTCAGACTAGACACAGTAGCTGGGATCAGATGTCTGTTGACCTGTTGCGTTGCTTGGTATGCTCGATCTGTCGTAATTCCGGCGCCTTCCCTGATGAGTTTTGCGTCAGCATTGGTTCCAAGTATCAACTGGCAGTGGAGTGCCTGGAGCAAATGAGTAAATCCATTCAGCATTAGCATCCATGGATGTCATTGATCTTCTGTTTTTGTAGAGACCTGGCCCTGGCCCTTGAAGCACCTGCTGTCTCCTACATGTAGCAGTGCTGAGGTTCTACACGCAAATCTTAGGTTAGATGTGGTATAGGGATGGGGGAAGCTTGAAATTACATTTGTCTAGCTGTAGCTGTGGTATTTGATATTATTCTTTTCTTAAAAAGTGCTTGCTTGCTGCATGATTCCTTATTTCTACAACATCACCATGAATCATTGTACATTGGTTGTGTATATTTAAGTAAACTACAATACGTTCCTTTTCGCCATAAAATGTGTATGAAAGGACAAAATAATCATATTCACAAGTGTGGTGCCACCGTGTTGTCGTGTTGTACACGTGTCATGTATCAGTGCTCGTGGTTGTCAATTTGCTGACCCCACATTGTTTTCTATAATTTTTGTTTGTCGGAATTTCTGTAACACTGACCTTATGTTTATACCTTTTGTACCAGGTTAGATGACCCGCTTATGTGGGGGTTCAAGAATGTAGTCATGTCTTACATGTTTCGACTTGGTGATCCTTAATATTCCTATTTGTTATCTCCGTTCGTTCCTGTATTAGTTTTCTGACTTCTAGTGATGCTCTGCGTGCTAAATCACGATGGGTTGCAATTTTGGTATGTATAAAATTACCACCTATATATGATCTGCTCATGTGGGTTTTGTGGGTGAAAATTGAACTTTTTAGAGACAGTACTTATGTAGGTTTGGGTATGTATAAACTGACACCTGTATATGATCAACTTATGCGGGTTTTGTGGGTGAAAATGGAACTTGTAGGCAGTGATGTTGATGCTACTTCTAAAAAATCTGAGATGATGTAACACGATCTAGTTACTGAGGTAACATCTCATATGAAGATATGGATTGTTGCCTTTTTATAGAGGAGTAAGAGGCATTTTAAGGTGTATCCAGTGAAGCATGCAAAACAGTAAAACGTCTAGCACAATCCTATTTAATCCAGCGAACAACTGTCTGTTCCTCTTATGAAATCTAGTTTCATTTCAACTGCCAGCAACCTTTTTAAGAATTCAGTTTCATGGCACTCAATTCACTCACCAAGACTTGTGAATTGCTGAGAGTTGGCATAGTTTGTGTTCTGCATTTGCCATAATACGCTCGTTTGCAGTATTGTGTATCAGATAAGATTAGCCGATGCTTGCTAAGCTATGTGCTGTGGTACTAGTACAAGAAACAATACTATCAAATCTAGTGCCTCATCATCTTTTTGTTTAACTGCTATTTAAATGTCCAGTGCTTACTCTTTTCCCTTCACATTCTTCAGTTATTCTTATTTTTCACTTTTAAGGTGACACATAATTGTGCGCACAGGGAAATGCATACCAATCACAAGAGGGGGGTGGGATCTATCAAGAACACATGAATGAAGCCCTTGACGTGCTTAAAAATGGAGGCTGGGTATGAGAAATTTTTTACAATTACATACTGATCTTTCTGTCATCAACAGATGCCATATCCCTGCCTATGGATTCTGGCCTCTATTTAATTCCAAAGTTTATCATGACATATTCAAACAGCTGCATACATTCCCTGAAGGAAAAATAGCCCAAGATGATCATCCAATTAGAAGATTGAAGTGGGGAACTGCCAGTCTTATTGTCCGAGCACCTATAACTCCAATAGTTTTGCCAATTGTTCACTCTGGTTTTGAAAAGGTACACGGAAGAATGCTTTGCATCTCATAATGAAGACATCGTAGTATGTGGTATAGAACATTCTTTCTGAAATATGAATATATTCTTAGCATGATGCCATCTACTTCCAGGTCATGCCAGAAAAATCGTTCTTTGGACGGCGGCCGCCAGTGCCACTCTGCAGTAAGAAGATAGATATCATTGTTGGAGAGCCAATAGAGTTTGACATGCCAAGCTTGAAGCAAGAGGCATCAATGGTACCCCATGATTCATCCTCTGAACGGAAGGGATGGCCAACCATTACACCAGATGGACTGGACAATGCCGCGCAAAGATGGCTTTACCAGAAGATGTCAGATAAGGTCCAGTCTGTGATGGAGAGATTGCGGAAAACAGTTGTCAACATGAAGCAGCATTGATCTTGTTGACCTTTATTCATCAGGGAATGGGAGGTTTATTTTTTTCATTTTTCGTTTTTTTCCACGAATACCTTCTTGAACTGCTGGTTAGGATTTGTTAACTAGCTTGAGTTGGTGGATACAAAAATGGGCAAATGGTCGTCAAACAAGTCTGTCAAAGTATTGGGAATAGAATTAGAGCTCAGATTGTTACATGCTGAGTCTTGAGGTATTAGTTAGTCTTGAAAGAAAATTTGTTGTTCATTATTTACCATCAACTGTTCAGGTGCCGGTTTTATTGAGGCATGAATAAAAAGCCTTGTGATGTTCAGTTGCAAAATTACCATCCATTTACCTGTCTTAGGTCTACAGTTTTTTACTTTTTTTCCTTTCCTGATCGGTTGTCTAATGTACCATGGAAATGGAAGCATACCAGAATTACGTTTTCATCCAGTGGGTTAAAAAGTGTATCTGCGCTTGGAATTCGGCCAGGAGACCTAAACTTTGAGCGTTGGTGTAGAGCTGGATGATGTAAAGTTGTAAACTGTCTTGTGGTCGTGGTTATACTATAAGGCTGGGGATTATTCACTGTAATACTTAAAAAAAAAAGTGTATTTGCGCTTGGAAGGCAGTTGCCTACTGTAAAATCGGGCCAGCCCGGAGCTGTGCAACGCGCTTCAGAACTGTGCCATCTTTGGGTAGGGGTTATCTCCAGGCCCAGCAGAAACAGCGTTGGGCCCTGACGGATCCAATGACAGTACTTGACCTCAAATGCCAGAAACATAATATTCTTCCCATCCCATAAAAAAAAGGAGAGTACTGCATCTTTATATATAAAAAAGGCACTCCTAGCGCCCGGACGATCGGACGCCCTCGGCTGCAGTCAGTTTCGCCTTTGTTTCGCGCGTCCACGCGTGGGCCCATGTCACCCAGACGTTGCTCGAACGTTCCAGTGCCCGCGTACTCGACGGGTGAAAGTTTTCCCCCAACTAGAGACTCGTGGGTGATGTATTAAGTCCAGATTCGGACCATAATGGAGTAAATATTCGTCGGGTCTCGGGACCCCATTGCCATCTTTAGTAACAGGAAGCGAGCCCAGAGGGCTTCTGCACCGAGGCCCAGCGCTTCTCCTTGCGCTGGCAGCACCTGTCGGCGTTGTCGGGTGGAGTAGGCGGCGGAGCAGGAGCAGCGGGCGCGAGCGCACGGGAGCAGCGGCAAGAGCTGTAGCAGGAGGAGCGGGCCGGGGTGGCGGAGTGGGAGATGGATGAATTGACTGGATATTGCGGAGTGAGTGATGAATGAATTGACTAGATATATTGTTGCTATTCGTTTCGCTGAAATTTGGTTTTATACTGATTTGTTGTGAGAGAAAAACATTGTTTCTTCGCTGAAAATACGGTTGAAACAAATGGCTTGTTTGGCTGGCTGTAAAGTCGCTGGTGCTAATTTGTATGACTGATTTTTTAAGAGAGAAAAATATTATACTATGACTTATAAGCCAGTGAATAAGCTCCCTGATAAGACCAGCCTAACACTCCCAAAGGTTGTCTCACATGGCCCACACCCGGATTCGAAGAATTAACGGCAAAAAAAAAATAGTAACGATATATGTCAGGTTGTACCGTTGGAGAAGGCGAATCGCATTCACATGATCCAAGGCCACGTTTAGTTCGGCCGAACCGACCGATTCACTGTAGCAACACTGTAGCTACAATAATATTTTGTTTTTATTTGGTAATAGTTGTCGAATCGTTGAATAATTAGGCTCAGAACGTTCGTCTCGCAAAGTATAACCAAACTGTGTAATTAGTTTTTGATTTCGTCAACATTTAGTACTCCATGTATGTACCGCAAGTTTGATGTGACGGAAAATCTTCTTTTTGATAGTGTCAAAGTTTGGAATTGGTGTAAACTAAACACCCCAGTAGGGTAAAACTGTGGCAGTGCTCGCTCCCACGCCACGCCAACGCCAGTGTCTGGCTAGGTTCTACCGAAAGCGACCCGACGCGCAGACGAGACGCGGCATGGGCCAGGAGGACCGGGGCCAAACAGTTTCGCCTTCGCCGCTGCGTGCCAAGCCAGCCAGCTCCTACATCTGTCCTGCTACGCCTGCATGCACGCCGGCGCCTCGCAGAAGCTTTGCTGTCGACTGTCGTCGAGCTGGGCTGACCCGAGCCTGAGGTGCTGAGCGCAGACGCCGCCGAGCCCTTCCGTCCAGTCGTGGACTCGTGCGGAAGCCGAAGACGTGGCCGTCCACCACCGGGCCGCTGCTACCTGCTGGGCGCTGGCCCTGTCTCCACCCAGACTCCAGCCTCGCTCTTCGAACTCCGATCGACACGCCGCGTGAGACTCCCTGCCATGATTAGGGGAAGACAACATACTCCCTCCGTCCCATTGAGTTTGTCGTTTGAAAACCGTGCCCCCCTCATAATCCCGCTTCCCGAGCGACAAACTCAATGGGACGGAGGGAGTATATCCGCAGCGGGGTCCCGCGGCGGAGGGGCAGAGCACATCGATCTGCTCCTAGTTGGGTTGGAATCTCCGATCCGATCCCAGCTGAAGCGGACGTGTCACGTCTCACTCGGCGTCACCGCGTCACAATGGCACGGGCCAGGCAAACCACCGACCGAACAAACCCATCACATCATCCATCAGGTCACGAACACAACCCGAGATGAAAGAAATGGGAAATGCAATTCTGCAGGCATTGCAGGCAGCACATTGGTGAAGTGCGGTTGGAGATGTTTGGTGCACTGCACGTCTGTCAGATCAGACCATCGCTTAACCAATAATAACCACCTCCCTGTCGGCCAGCACAAGCAGGCAGCCCGCCGCCCCCGTCCCCCGGCCCAGCTCGCGCCCAGGCTTAGCTCCAAACCACGCACCATCTGGCGTCCGCGTAATCCAAGCCGCGAGCCAAGCGCACCGCCGGCCGATTGCGTGCGAACCGTGGCTGCTGGACACTGCCACTGGGCAGGGCCGGAGTTGCATGTCGCGGTCGTGGAAGTGGAACAATTCAGGGCGTGTAGCCGTGCTGTGCGCGCGCGTCAGCCTCGGCGTCGGCGCTGCGGCGGGGCCGGGGGAGCGAGGTCGGCTCGGATGGTCCGTCGCTGTTTGGGCGCAGCTAGCGCGGGGTCGGCGTCGCCATTGGACGCCCGGCACGGCACACGCGCGCGCGGGCACGTCGTTTTCCGCGGGTTTTGGCGGTGTTGATGGGCGAGCACCGAGATGAGATGGCTCTGCTGGCTGCGTGTAGCGCTCCTCCGGCTATGCACCAACTTACACAACGCTTTCGCTTTCACACTACCTTTTTTTTTAATATATAGGCCCGATCGGCTGGTAGAATTTTGCCTGAAACTGGCTGAAAAATACTGTTTCGCATTCACACTAGTTAATACTCCGGTAGCTGGTTTCAAACGGTGATAAAAGACATATGTAGACTGTCGTAGAGTAAAATTGGGTTATTATGCTT